TTAGATCCTGTCCTGCGTATATTTAAATTTCTATCTGTGTCTTTTGATCACATTTCAGGGTAGAAAGTTCTTAAGTCAAAGTCAACTCAAAACAAAAAAAACTGTCCAGATGGACAATGCTGACTACAAGTCAAATCACAAAGAGGGTAGCACAGTTTTATTGAAGAGGACCTACTGACCAAGACAGTCAGTAGGTCCTCTTCAGTCAGGAAAAATAACATAAATCTGTTATTTTTCCTGACTGGCCTCCTTTATTCAGTCCCATTATTTGCCAACTGGCTTGCCTGGTTTATCACCCCCAGAAGGACTTTTCCCAGACCAGCCAAACTTAGGATCGCAGCAGCAAAGAATCAAGGCTATTGTCCAAACCATCACAAGAGCATACTAATTCCTTGCTGCCCTCCATTAACGTAGCTCCACCAATGTTCCTGCCCATCACAATGCCACAAGAGCCCTCCAGCAGGAGAGCTCTAATCCCTTCTGACAGCTCCCTTGGCCAAGAAGATGGAGGAAGAGTCTGCCAACAGCCAGTAAGTGCTGCTGGATCAGTGCATTAAACCACCACCCACCCCCCGGAGTTATGAGCATTATCCCTGCTGTGCTCCGATTAGCCTCCTTTGTCCTACCAGCAAGGACACAGGAAATTTATCTCAAGCAATGGAATAACACACTTGCCCAGATCTACTTCAATTTCTTTTACATCAGTTCTTAGAGTACCATTGCTTTTCCTCTGCCTACTTCCCCGGGCATTTGAATCAGTTACCTGGAAGTCTTTGACTTATATAGGATTGCAACCGATCAGACCATGATGACAGGAGTCCTGCAGTACCTGTATAAAATGCTACAACTAAATATCAGCCACTCCAAATACTTTACCCATACTCCATGTAGTCTTTAGCAGGCATCTACAGGCTCTGCATCCACAGCCAGAACAAGACCAATTGCTATCTCATCTCATCACTACCTATCCCAAACTCCACAAATTCCATAAGCCAGTTGATCTCTTTACACATTCCTCCTGCTCCCTACATTCGCATTTACCACGTTGACTAAATACAGATAGTCAAAAAGCCCAAGGCTGAATTGATTTAATCTTTGCAGTTTAGTCTAAACTGCATAGATTGAACTGATAAGCAACTGAACAGACTTTCACTCTTGATTTCAGAAATGCAGCCATATACCTACACTGGCCCAGGCAAGAAGCCTGGGGGTGCTACAGCACGTCCTCCTACTCGGCTGGAGCAGACAGCTCTGTCCAAGGCTAGCTCACCCACCCTGAAAAGGGGGGGCAGGCAGGGAGGTGTAAAGCATCCTGGGATGCTGGGGAACTGAGAGTTACCTTAAATTTAGAGGGGATCTGGGACAGAAGTTCAATAAACTGATTTAACCTAAATCAGTTAATTCCGATATTATGTCCATCCAGTTTATCTTAAACAGGTTTCAGCCTTTTAGAAAGTGGTTTATGTGCACTGAACTTCTGTTGTGTTAATTTGAACTGGTTTCCGATCACTTATACCGGTTTTGTCCCTAGCCACTGAGCCCACATGCGCTTATCTCTGTCCTCAAGTCACTTTTGCTCCAAAGTCATTCAACAAAGTCATACAAGCAGAGAACATGATTCATAGATTCATAGATGCTAGGGTCAGAAGGGACCTCAACAGATTGAGTTCAACCCCCTGCCTAGGCAGGAAAGAGT